GGATGGGTCTGAGACTGAAGACTGCTTTCTACCATCCTAGAAGCAGGAACAAAAGCCTCCAACTCCTCTTCCCTGCTGAGAGTGAGCTCAAACTCAATTCAAGGATTTGCCTCCCTTGCATCGCCCTGTGACCAGAACATCAAGACATCATAAAAAAAAAAAAAAAAAAAAAAAAAAGGGGGAGGAGTTGTACAGCAAAATAAACTTTAGTTCTTGACTAAATCTGAGGAGATGAGGAATTCTCTGGGGGGGGTGCTCGAAGACGTCAGTAAATTGTCCTGTTGGTTTGAGCCATAAAGTTAGCTCATACTGGTACCAAGCACCAACAGAAGATTTGTCAAAGGTCAGGGGCATCTCTACTGAGAATCCCTTTATGGTTACCAAAATGTGAACCCAGAAAATCTGAGACAGGTCTCAGTTAATTTTCGTGTGTGTGGTTGTGTGTGTGTGTGTGTGTGTGTGTGTGTGTGTGTGTGTGTTGTCAGTTAATTTAGAAAGTTTATTTTGTTAAGGTTGAGGATGTATTCCATGACACAGTCTCAGGAGGCTCTGATGACATACGCCCAAGGTGGTAGGGGCACAATGTGTTTTGCATATTTTAGGGAGACACGAGACAGCAATCAATATGTGTAAGATGTACATTGGTTCCATCTGGAAAGGGGACAACTTGAGATGAAGGCAGGACAACTCAAAGTGGGGAGGGGGCTTCCAGGTCATAGGTAGATAGGAGACGAATGGTTGTATTCTACTGAGTTTCTGATTAGCTTCTCCAAATGAGGCAATCAGATATGTATTTATCTCAGTAGACGGGTGACTTTGAATAGAATGGGAGGCAGGTTTGTCCTAAGCAGTTCCCAGTTTGACTTTTTCCTTTAGTTTAGTATTTTGGGGTCCTAAGATTTATTTTCCTTTCACAGTAGAACAGCCTGTTTCATCAAATGCCTGTCATTGCCCCTTTAGGTGGTTTATCATTATTTTTTAATTCATCATTCAACTTGAAGGTCGCTTATGTTGTTCCACTTGTACATGAATTCATAGAAACCATGAGTACTGGGTGCTGGGTCAGACCACAACTGTTCACTGTGGGAAGCCTTTATTTCTGTCTCACCTTTGTGCTATTTCTCCCCTAGATCCACCCTGATTTCAGCGGGCGCTCCTGGGTCTTGTATGCACTAGGTGCTCTGAATGCTTGGCAACTGGAATCGGTTAGCCTGGAGGCATTTAGACTGTCCTTCTACAACCACAGAAGAGCCATCACTGGCAGAGAGATCCTTGGCGCAGTTAAGCAGAGATCTTCTCAGAAGAGCTTTTGAACAAATGAAGTTGTTTCGAATGGCCTTGTTAAAATGACTCACTTGTCAAAACAATTGGATGTGTTGGAAGGCTGGGTTGGAAGACAAGATGTCTGAGAAGCTGTCCTGCTGCATGAGGAGTTTCACTGCTACACACCTAATCTCCGGGTCCTGTGTTTTTGGCCTCCAGCTTACTTCGTGAACATAATAAAGGAAAGGCATTTTCTCTTGTGCGTGCTGTGTGTGCACGTGTGTATGTGCTTGTTGTCTATGGCTTTTAATTTCTTATGTATGCTAATCCCCTGTTTTGTGCTTCCCCGTTGTATTCTTTGAAGGGCACAACTAGATCGATGACACTGTATAGCCATCATCTCTCCCCACTCCAGACTGAGGGTGGAGATGGCTGCACTAGAATGAACTGAGATCACAAAGGACTAGGGGGCAAAGTGGAGGGCACAGATGTGGGGGTATTAACCCAGGGACAGGGGAGCTTGAAAGTAGACAGTATTGTCCAAACTTGCAGTGTAATGAGAACTGCTACCAGCTTCTGGCTTTCTCCCTATCCACCTGTGCCTGCCTCTCCAACCCCTACCCACAACCTTTGCTTTGGCCATAATCTTCCCTTTTACCTGGCTTGTGTAGATAGCTATGGCTCTTGGCAGTGTTGAGACATTGTTTAGACTTCATGAGGAAAGATGATTTTTAAAATTTAAGTACCTCTGCCGTGATTTATGGGAACTAAAGCAAAAGGAATCTGCTTGCTCTTTGAGTATAAGAATTGTGGCATTGGTTATCTATGTAGCACTTATGCATAATAACGTGTGTAATAAGTGTGCAAGTGTCAAATGTATAATCTGGTCCCAACTGTGGGAAAAAGACAATTATAATAGTATGATAAAATCAAGGGCAGGCATGGTGACTCAAGCCTGTAATCCCAATACTTTGGGAGGCAGAGGTGGGCAGATCGCTTGAGCCCAGGGGTTGGAGACCAGCCTGGGCAACGTGGCAAAACCTTGTCTCTATTGAAAATACAACAATTTGCTGGGTGTGGTGGCATGTGCCTATAACCCCAGCTACTTGGGAGTCTGAGGCAGGATAATCGCTTGAGCCCAGGAAGCACAGATGGCGGCGAGCCAAAACTGCACTATTGCACTCCAGCCTTGGCCATAGGAGTGAAACCCTGTCTCAAAAAAACTGTAAGGTATAAATGGGATGACATGCTCTAGATGGGTGGGTGGGGGGCCTGGGAAAGCCTGGGTGGGTGACAGGAAGGAGAAGGCCCTAAGAATGGAGAAGGGTTCTGGGCTAAGGAAAAAGCCTGAGCAAAAGCCCTGAGGCAGGCAGGACAGTTCTTGGATTAATTGGAGAAACTAAATGAAGCTGGGACAACTGGGCTCTAGCAAACAAGGAAGAAATACAATAGGAGATGAAGCTGGAGGAAAAGGCTGGGGCCATGTGATGCAGGGCTTGGGTTTTCCCTGGGTACAGAGGGACACCACTGAAGAATTTTAGCTAGAGAATTAACATTTTACTTAGGTATTTTGTTTTCAGACAGGGTCTTTCCATGGTGCCCAGGCTAGCCTTAAGCTCTTGGCCTCAAGCCAACCTCCTGCCTTGACCTCCCAAGTAGCCTGGATTACAGGCATGTACCAATGTACTCGGCTTTATTTTGTTTTGTTGTTGTTGTTTTTAGTTGAGATACACCCTACAGTAAAGTGTACAAATCTTAAGCACACCACAAAGTTCTACGTATGTATACCAGATTAAGATACAGAATGGTCCCATCACTTAGTTTTTAGACCTCTGTTGCTGCTGTGTCAATAATGGATCACAAAGTGTGGAAATGAGAAGATTAGTTAGAAATGTTCTGTGTCAGTTTCGTAGAGAGGCGATGGTGATCCAGATGAGTGTGAAAATGGAGAGAAGTGAGAAATTTGAAATGAATTTTGGAGAGAGAATAGAATGTGCTCATGGAATGAATATAAGTGTGAAGAAAAAAGTGCTGATTCCTAGGTTTGGAGCTTGGGCATCGGGGGAAACAGCAGTGCAATCTACAGAGACGGAGAAGACTAAACACAGGACAGGTGTTTTGGGGAGAGGAAGAAATTGAGAATTCCATTCTGGACATGCTCATTGTGAAATACCTATGAAACTTGCAAGTGAAGATGTAAAATAGATAGGACTGGGCCTAAAATACAAATTTGGGAGCCATCAGCATCAAAAGGCAATGTATAGATCAGCAGGAGTGGATGAGATTACCCAGGAAGACGGGGTAAAAAGGAAAAGAGAAAGCTATCCAGGAAAAAGACTGAAAAATTCTAATACTTAGAATCAGATAGTGGAGGAGCCAACAAAGGAAACCAAGGATAAATCTAAGCAAATCAGGAGAGGGTAGTGTCATGGAAGCCAAGAGGGAGAACATGGTCACACTGCTGTTCACAATCCTGGTGGGGAGGTGAGGATATTTATGTCCATTTGGTGACATGGGGGTCACGGTGATCTTGAGAAGTCAACTCTGGAGCACGGTGGGTATCAGCCAGATTTTAGCAGGTTGAAGAGTGAATGGGAGGTAGTTAGTAGAGACAGCTTTTTTTTTTTTTTTTTTTAATGGTATTGAGATGAAAGGTGAAATCTAGTTTGAAAGAGAAGAGAGACACAGGCTGGTAACTGGACAGTCATTTGGTATACAGAGATTTTTAAGATGAGGGATACTAGAGCTTAATTGTTCATTGGTGGGAATTCTCTAGCATAAAGGGAGATATTAATCCAGAAGACAGTAGAGGAAACCAAAGGACCTTGAGAAAGTAAGGGGAGATGAGATACAGAGTAGAGGTGAAAGAGGAGAAGATATGTACAAATTTTGGTAGGTTTAGAGGTTTGGTGATGAAAAGATGGAGTTAGTACATATTTCTTTTTTCTTTCCTAAATGGCACAAGTAAAAGCAGAATAGGGGCATGGGAGGTTTAAAGATTAGATGCAAAGTTGTTTGAGGGAGTAAGTGGGAGTTGGACACTTATGGACAGATGGATTACTAGGAATAAGTGCCTGTTTGAGATTTGTGATCATGAATCAAAAGCAAAGCCAGTCTTGGGTGACTTTCCCTAACTACGTGCTCCAGTGCCAGCATGGAGAACACAGAGTTTGGGTTCTGCCAAGCAAGCTGGGAAGGAGAGAAGAGCAAGAGAGCAACTCCATGGTGGCCTATGTGATCCAGGCCAGATGGTAGCACCAGGGGGTGAGAGAAGTGAGAATGTCATGGAGCTCAAGGGAAGCATAGAAGATGTCAGGCCTGTAAACAGAGTCTCCAAGAAGGAATTTTCTCTCCCCAGCAACCTTCAACGTTAGCTCACCGATGAGGGCACTTGCCTAAGAAGCAGTGGTGACACCCAGTGACCACTCTTTGAAGTGCACCTTCTTGGTTTTATGTTGTCAGCAGATCCGGAAGTGTGTGTTACGTTCCACTTGGGGGGCACCAGAGCCCTCGGCATTCTCTCCGTGGTTCTGTCTCGCAGGATTCTGTCCCATTGGTCCTGGGCATTTCAAGGGGATGGAGAGGCTGCTGCTTAGGGGGTAACTAGAAGTGGACTGAAGGCAATCTGGGGGCTGTTAACTCCAGACCCCAGACCTGGGCTTCTCTGCTAGTCCTGAGACAGATCCTGAATCCTGGAATGACTTTGGGTATTCTAAAACCCTGCCTGGGTTTTAAAAAAATGCCAGGTAGTGACATAATCCTTTTCCAGCCCGCAGTTATCCTGGGGAAATACCATTCTGGCTGACCCAGAACTGTGTGAGGACTCTCTTCTCAGCACCACCTCCCGAAAGTTGACTGTCCCTGGGGTTCTAAGAGGGTCCTGCTGTCTCTGGCTCCACTTGACCCAAGGACTGGGATCCAGCTTAGTCTAGAGGGAAACACAGATTCCTCCCAAAGTCCTGTCAGTCATTAGAGGTACTGAGCATGACTTCTGGGCCAAGCAGTTGGGTGTCCCTTAGTTAGAGGATATAGGGAAATACAAAGAAGACCAAGACAGGACAGCCCCTTTGCAGCAACCTAAGGCACTTTTACTGTTCTGATCAATTACCCTGTACCAGGACATGCTGTTTTTCCTTCCACTTTAAGAGGTTAGTAAATCAGGTTTGAGTTCAAACACAAGAGGGTCACTGAGGCATGAACCATGGCATGGGGTAGGTGAGGGAGGTGGTTTCTAAGGTGGTCAAAAAATTGAGGAAAACTGATTCTGACTCACCTCTATCCTGCTTCCCCATTTCTTATCTCACACTCCCCAGTTTGAACTTGACTTTGTACTTAGGGCAGCCTGGTGTCGTGGAAGGAGCCTGTGCTGAACTTGTAGTCAGGTCATCCCTTGGCCACATCTGCAAAATGGTGATGTGGTGATGGCACATGGTTGTAGCGAAAAATTAAACAAAGTACATGAAAGTGTTTCTTACACCAACACAATGCTTTGGTTTAAGGCATTATTATTAGATATTTATACGAAGGCAGATTTCACAGACATTAAGGAAAAAGAAAAAAGCTTTATGGCAATGAAATTCCATTAGATGTGTACCAGGCCCTGGCGGAACCCGTCAGAGGAAAAGTGACCGCTGATGTCTTTTCCGAGACTGGGAGAACACAGAAGTGGGTAAAGGAGAAGATCTACCGCTTGGAGTCAGACAGACTTAGCTTCTTATCCTGTATTTGCCAGTTACTGGTTGTGGCATCTCAGACAAGTTCCTGAACTTCCCAGATGCTCAGTGTACCTCTGTATAAAGTGGAGATAATTCCTCCCTGCCGACCTGTTGAGAAAATTCAATGAAGTGTTGCCTGTAAAGCACCTTGAATAGAGTATGCACTCAGTGAATATGGTATCATGAAAATGCATTCATTCAGGCCATCCCAAACTAGATATTTTGGACATATACTATGGGCCAGGCACCAAGCTAGGTGGTGGGTGACTTTGTCTTATAGCACTTATAGCTTTTCAGATAGACAGTTCTAGTTCAAATCCTAGATTTACCACTTACCAGCTGTAGAAATGTATTTAACTTCTTTGAGCCCTAGTTTCTTCCTATGTAAAGTGAGGGAGAATAATATCTATTTTGAAAGATTATTGTAATAATTATATAATCTATGTAAAGTACCTAGCATAGTACCTGGCATGAACAAAGTCTCAAAAATGGCAGTGATTATAATTAATATGATCATGCTGAAAGTTAAAAGAATGTATCAGATTTAA